ATTATAAAAGAATGAACATAACATTCCACTCGTCGCAGAGGGGCTAAGGACCAAAGATCTGAGCAATAGCCATCTCTAAGATTGCATTCATGCCGAATAGTCCGCGTCTTTACACCAGACGCAAGTGTATTATATCGTTTCATTTGCAGTTTCAACAATTGGCGGGACATCAAGCGGATAAAATGCAGATCCCAGCAATTCCTACAGTAGCCTGCATCATGGAGCATTGGCAGGTTATTTTCATACTGCTGTTAATCTGGAGAGTACATCAACAGACTCTGCGGCCGGCGCATAGGATTATAAATCGGACAACGTGCATTAAAAACATTATAACACATAATGAGACGTTATGCAGTGAGGAGGTTTCACCGATGACAGGTGGCTCTGATGAGATTGTACCACTGCCTTTTCTCTGTACACAGGGGACCAGTGAGGTAAGCAGTCACCAGAATGAATGCATGACCCTATAGGTTACTGGATGTTGCACACAGCATAGATAGCAAAACAAGCGATGACGGGCAAATAGTTGTTTCCCATGTTTTGATGCGGACTACGTCACACCAGCAATGAACCTCTCCAGAGTTTACTAGCGAGCGACTCGAGACCACCTCTTTTAGGCGGAGCAGAGGTATCGGACTGCTTCCACACCAATCCAACGAACCGCATCAAGGGGTTAACGCTACAGGACCGATTCAATAGTACTAACCAAGCAGGTGTGAACGTGACCTAAGACTATGGTGCCTTAAGGTTTGGACAGAAAGGCTAGCGCTTGTTCCTTATAAATATAAAACATCTCTTTTAGAGAGACTACCAGTGGGAGACCATAATTGAAGGCAGTAATCAGTATTGAATGTATTACAAGTCTAATATGTAGTATAACGTAGAGCACTTTGAACATTTGGAAAGGCGCTAAATAAATAACATGAATTGTAATTATGGCTGTTCTGATGCGGGACAGCTTGTCTGGTGGCAGTGAAGCTTGCATCAGCACACTATCGAGAATGATACCGATAATTCTAGACGTGTGGAAGGGCTTCCAGTTCCTGTTCTGAAAGAGGTAGGCCTAGCTGTTGAAAAGTTTTATCTGGGAAAGTTAACTAGGAAATGGTTAAAAGATGGACACCAAGGGGTGCTTGCAGGTGTTGCAGAGAATCCAGCATACTGCTTCTGATGAGGTGTCAAAGAAACGTGGGCTACTATGGAAACCAAATGCACATTTGATTGTAAAACCTAAAAATATATATGCCACAGAAGGCATATGGGATGTATGCTTTCCCTGCCATGTCATCTACAGAGCAAAGAAACGGGAAAAATCTTTAGTAGTTAATAATACTCTTAACAGAATAATCGTGAGGAACTAACGGCTCAATAAAGAAACGTTGCTAGAATAATTCCTCCTAGCACTAGGCTAGGGGCCTGTCGTGTTTTTAAACGTTTAAATAGCAGCACTTGTAATACTCCTGGCTCCTTCAGTGCAAACTTCAGTCTTGAGTGCAGGTTTCAACAGACATGGGTCCCTGGGAGCCAGCATAACCTGCTAAGAAACCTTGATTTAAGCCTGTGATAAGGTCATTTGACGAACATCTGTGATTAGAAAGAGCTTGGAAACGATTTGCAGCATGAAGCCTCCTGAGGCACACCCAGCGAGGGGCAGATATTGCAGGTAGAGCTTAATTCCTGTAAGGAAAAACTCTTCTTTGGTAGGTGATTAAATGTACATGGCCGCTTGGCAGAGAATGATTCATGGTATTCATAGAAAAGACACTGTAGGAGATTGAAGTCTAAAATGATGGTCAAAAATGTATCGAGCTTCCCTTCATATTCACGTGATGGAAATTATTAATTTATTTCCGTTTTTAATTTCATTGATTTATAGTAGGCCTAGTATAAATACTTATACACATACAACTTCTGTATAATTGCCTCAAATATGACTTACTGCAGGCCAAATATTTCCATAATAAAACATTGCTTATGCAGAATAGTATTATACACTGAACAAAAATATAAACGCAACACTTTTGTTTTTGCTCCCATTTTTCATGAGATGAACTCAAAGATCTAAAACATTTTCTATATACACAAAATAACCATTTCTCTCAAATATTGTTCACAAATCTGAAAAAATCTGTGATAGTGAGCACTTCTCCTTTGCCGAGATAATCCGTCCCACCTCACAGGTGTGGCATATCAAGATGCTGATTAGACAGCATGATTATTGCACAGGTGTGCCTTAGGCTGGCCACAATAAAAGGCTACTCTGAAAGGTTAGGGTAATGTTGTGAATCGAGTGGCCCATGGTGGTGGTGGGGTTATGGTATGGGCAGGCGTATGTTATGGACGACGAACACAGGCCACTCGATTCACAACATTACCCTAACCCTAACCCTACCCCTAACCCTCACACCAGATACTGACTGGTTTTCGGACCCCCCCAGATCCCCCCAATAAAGCAAAAATGCACGTTTCAGAGTGGCCTTTTATTGTGGCCAGCCTAAGGCACACCTGTGCAATAATCATGCTGTCTAATCAGCATCTTGATATGCCACACCTGTGAGGTGGGATGGATTATCTCGGCAAAGGAGAAGTGCTCACTATCACAGATTTCTTCAGATTTGTGAACAATATTTGAGAGAAATGGTTATTTTGTGTATATAGAAAATGTTTTAGATCTTTGAGTTCATCTCATGAAAAATGGGAGCAAAAACAAAAGTGTTGCGTTTATATTTTTGTTCAGTGTATATACCTGCCAAGATTCGATTCCTAAGGAACTGCTGCTGCAGGGGGCAGGAAGCTAGAACTCGTGGCTGGATCTGGGACTCCAATTCCCAGAATCCTCTGGAGTGTGACGTCAGCGGCACAACGTGGTTGAACGCGGAAGTAGAAACATTTGTTTACGAGTTTGTTCACGGGAATATATCGTGCAATTAAAGGCTTCAAGCGCTGATTTTACTTCGAGAAGGTAGGACAGGATGGCAGGTACTTTGGGAATGCCGGAGTCAGCTTGCTCCTGCCTTTTTTGGTGTTTAAATACCCACCGACCGAGAGACAGTGCGACTCTTAGCTGACACACAAGAGAGGGGTTGTTACCGGAGCTGGCGTAGAACTCAAGACTTCCTCTGGCCCAAAGGATATTAAAAGTTACTCCAGATGAAGACGGAAGGGAGTGGGACACCTGAATGTGTGTCGTGCGGGAGCTGTGGCTCGTTCCAGCGGCGTCACTCTGAACCATGCTCTGAGCTAGCCTGTGTTTCGGGAATGAGGCATTTCTTACGGTTTCTTGCGTATGATAATTTGGTTCCAGAGTCGGAGATTGCAATAGACATTTGCAAGGACAGCACCGGCAGGCAAGCAGCAGCAACATGAAACACAGCAGCAGGAACATGAACGCAGCAATAGCAAGTGAACACAGCAGTGGCAGCAGCAATCAGCAGCGACGTAGCTGCAGCAATAGCAGACACATTACCCTAGGACCTAGGGTAATGTGTCTGACCCTCCACCGATGCTGTATACGAAGATTGGTGTTGAAAAACTGAAAATTGAAATTTAAGTGAATATTTAACTGTTTTGAACATTATGCCAATTTAAATAAAATAAAATGTAGGCGGAGCTTAGGGTTCCAAGAGGATTATTTGTAGAGCAGGTCCACCCGGATATGTGTGCAAAATTTCAGGTCATTTGGAGTTACGGTGCGACTTTGTACATGTATTCTGAAATGGGTTTTTCATAGGTGGCGCTAGCGAGCACGTTGGAATATTTAACCCATTGACTCCAGAATATTGAATATTTTACCGGTCCTGGCGTCCGTGCAAAATTATACAACTTTTTAAGCATCCTAAAGACCTCAAAAAGAGGAAACGCCAGCACTATAATAATAATTCCACCAATAACAATAGGTGCCTCGCACTTCGTGCTAGGATGCCGTTGGGTCCTAGCGCTCCGTGTTCGGGACCTAATAATAATAACATATGAATACGCTTTGAATTTCCTTTTTTCGCAGGCTTTTCTTTTTGAAAATCTGAGTCTGTTGGCACATGATGAGACTGGGGATGACCTTTGACAGTTGCAACACTGGGGACGCTGCAAAAAGGGACGGTTCATCAATCAATCAATCAATCAATCAATGTTTATTTCTATAGCCCAATATCACAAATGTTACATTTGTCTCAGTGGACTTGCAGTGGTTGCATTCATTCTTATTCCTCTGATCAGAAACATGCTAGAGTGAGGACAGGAAGACACATTCTACATCTGCGGCTGAAATTACTATTCTCCCATGCAAATAAACACATTATATGTCACATTTAATCATCTTAAAATGGTACTGGTGGTTAGCAAACACATTGATTAACTGAGAGAAATGCACAAAGTGTTGCAACTGTCAAAGGTCTCCCCTACTTCAATAAGAAATACATTGTATGCCAGAAACTACAAGGAGCTCAGTCAAGTATTTTGTATATGAACTCAAAACAATCTGACTCTGACTTTTGTTATAGGTGGTATTTCTCCTGTGATCTAAAAAGTCCAGTGGCACAAGAAGGTTAACTTCAATGTAGTGTTTGTATTGCCAGTTCTGCAGAACCCTCCTAATATTTTTCACATTTGTTCACAAGCTACCTCTCGTATTATCTAGACAGCTTTCCACTTCCCATAACAATACTGCACATATTTTATTGTATTATTCTGAGAACTTTGCAATAATATATTGTACGTACGTTTCTTGGTATATCCAGATTGAGTGTAAATCATGTTCTATATCTTAACGCAAATAATAGTTTTTTTATTATTTTTATTTCATTTTTTGGTTGTTTTTCTTACTTTTGTTCCTCTTTAACTGTGTTTATGTTTGCACCATGCACACAAAGGCACATTCCTTGAATGTGTTAACCTACTTGACAATGAACCTGTTTCTGATTCTATTATTATTAATACATTATTATTATTATTACTTGTTTCTTGCACTTGCTTCTGCGTCACTGAGCAGTCATTATACACGTTACCTCCTTTAGATGTCCAAAGAGCCAGTGCGACGGTGGTCCTGGAAACAATTCCATACTTTGCTTCGCAGCTCTTCTTTGGGCGAGCAAGATTGTCAGCTTATAAACAACGGCAACAACACAGAGCACCGCGATCAAGTGGTGCATGTGGGGTAAGCCCAACTGATACTTCACGAAACCCTCAGTTGACTCCATGCTTGCGACCTCCTTGAAGATGAACAGTGATTCACACAACACAGTTTTGTGTGTGTGAGTGTGTGTGAGTGTGTGTGTGTGTGTGTGTGTGTGTGTGTGTGTGTGTGTGTGTGTGTGTGTGTGTGTGTGTGTGATGTAACCACAGGAATGTGGGTGGAGAATATGACCCAACCACTATGCAGTACAGCTCCGTCTGTAGTCACACTCACAGCATGAGGCTCCCTTCTTTCGGGTGTAAAACCTTTGTCTGTGCAGGAGGGGGGCCAGGGGGTAGCTTGGAGTTGCTATAGCAACTCCAACAATTGGCCTGTGTGCGTTAAAGGGGAATGGGTGTGCGTTCTGTCATGACTCCAAATCATTATTGGGGGACTGACTGAGGGCAGAGGGACACACACACACACACACACACACACACACACACACACACACACACACACACACGCACAGGAGATGGAGCAACAGATGGAATCAACAACTGCTGACTCATTGCCTAGGGTCCCGCCCAGAAGTGAAACCGGCCAATGCAGAACTGCCAACTCACTGGCTAGATCGCCCAGAAGTGAAATCGCCAATAACAAATAGCTAGGGAGGAGCAACCGACACAACTACTCAAATAATTTGTATTTAAGCTGTCCCAATGTTCATAATCGGCGCTGTCTTCTGACTGACTGTCCTGGGACGTATCTCACACGGTAGTAAGGCAAGGCAAGGCAAGGCAAGGCAAGGCAAGGCAAGGCAAGGCAAGGCAAGGCAAGGCAAGGCAAGGCAAGGCAAGGCAAGAAGGCAAGGCAAGGCAAGGCAAGGCAAGGCAAGGCAAGGCAAGGCAAGGCAAGGCAAGGCAAGGCAAGGCAAGGCAAGGCAAGGCAAGGCAAGGCAAGGCAAGGCAAGGCAAGGCAAGGCAAGGCAAGGCAAGGCAAGGCAAGGCAAGGCAAGGCAAGGCAAGGCAAGGCAAGGCAAGGCAAGGCAAGTTTATTTATATAGCACTTTCCAACACAAGGCAATTCAAAGTGCTTTACAAAAAATGAAAGAGATTAAGAAAATGGCATTTAAAATCAGTCATTAAAAAGAAAAGCTAATAAAATAAACATTAAAATAAAAAATACATGGATAAAAGTGACAGTGCAATTAAACATTAAAAGAAAAAGTACATGGATAAAAGTTACAGTGCAGTCTAAGATATGAATAGTTCAATTAAAAGCAGCGACAAAAAGAAAAGTCTAGTAGAGTTCTAGTAGAATTCAGCCCGGAGCACTCTGTATTGTACTATTGCAGAGTGCTCTGTATTGTGTATTGTTGTTTTTACCATTAAAACAGATTATTGTTTAACCTTTATCCTGGTGCTTTGAGTTCCTTCTTTTGTAAATTTGACCAGCTCATCAGTCATCAAGGGACGCGCGGAGCAGAGGTGAACCTTCCACCACCGCCATTGGGTGGTGCTACCCCATTGTTTTGTTATGAAAATGTATCTATATTATACACATTCTCGCGAGATCTATCAGGGGTCGTTGTAAGTTAAAGCGCAAACTGTTACTTGGCTAATGTTGTTATAATTCTCAGTATGTGAACACAGATCGAAAATGGAAAGATTTCTCACAACACAAGTCAGCGTAAACGACCGTGATTTTCCAACGGAGCCGGTCCAGCCGGACAACCCTGCTATCCAGAGCCGGCCCGACCCATTAAGCGACATAAGCGGCCGCTTAAGGGGCCCCCAGCAACAACAAAAAAATGAAAAAAAAAAAATCTCAGTACACCGTCGCCGTGATAAGTATGTTTAATTCATTGTGTTAATATGCCTAGATTGCCTACTCTCAAAGTCATGTATTATATTATTGAGTCAATAATATAATACATTAACCGTGCTTTACCTGAACCTCATCATGACACTAGAGAGGACGGCAGGAATGTAATTTCCCGTGTTCAGTGAATGCAACAGAGGCAAGACACCAGACCAACCAGAGAGTTGAATGGAAATAAACATCTGTCTTATTGGCTGACAGGTACCTATCCTGTGAGCTGTGACAATGTTTAAAATAAACTGTCAGTCGGACTCAGAGATTTTGAAGATGGACATAAGAACATTTTTTCTTAAAAAAGACGACAATTCTCAAGTGGTGTCTCACACAACTACCCCAGAGCCACTACTTGAGCCAGGCAAACAAGGTATGTAAATGTCAGTAAACTTCCAAGTTATGCGAACATGTAAGCAAAGCATAAATTACAGCTACGTTGACGTTACTTTGAATTGGAGAGACAGCAAGCGCATTTTGTGGCATCTGCAGGCAGTGGCAAGTACTTCCGGCATATGCCACAGAGGCCGCTACTCTGTGGTATCTGTGGCAAGTACTTCCGGCATATGCCACAGATGCCACAACTTGCCGAGGCATCTGCCCAACGGGAGTTGCCACAAGATGCCAGAGTAAGAGAAGGTTTACTGTAGCTGCCACTCGCCTTCCGTGGCAAATGCTTTAAACCGTATTTATCGTGTAAAATGTCGCTGTTTAGGCATGACTTTATCGAACTGATCTGTACACAGGACTGATGATCTGTACACAGGGTTGGGTTGTAACAGAATACATGTAACAGCGTTACGTAATCAGAATACAAAAATCAAGTAGCCTAACTGTATTCAGCTCACGTTACATTTGAAAAACAACTAATCCGAATACAGTTACTTTCGTAAACCTGAAGTGAATACATTTTGGAATAGTTATTGGAATTATTGGTGGAAAAGTTTCCTCACAAAATGTATCCTAATATTCATTACCGGCAGAACTGTGTGCACAGCGCAGCAGCATGTATGTGAGGCCCCGCCCCCACACGCAGATGAGAGAGAGATATCTTTTTAAATATATTGAAAGTTAGAAACGGAGATGGTTCGATAAAACATGCAAGATAACGTTTATGTAGCATTTCTTTATTGTCGAAATGATGACATTTCATAACGGGATAAAATCAAAGTGAATGGCCTGCTACTGCTGAAGGCATGGGGCAAATATAAGTCCTTTGCCTAATTTATAAAGTAAACCTTAGCATCTCACTAGCAGTGGCAACTGCAATCAGTTACAGCTGCCCTAAGTCTGTAGCTAAGTCTAATAACACCAGTGTACACGTTGCTGTGTCAATACAGATATTTATTTGTTAATTATTTGTCTTTACTAGTCATACACCTGGTTTATCGTAGCAAGCAGTGGAAACTCCCCTCAAGAAGCGACAATTTCCAAGGGCGTTGCAACCCTCACTCGCCAATATGTCATCATAAATATAGCACGTATGCTTATTTTAGCAAACCATGCTCCAAGTAAAATTGAATAGAAATGATAATGTATAATCTTTTTGAAAAATAGAGATCGCACATCAGTCTTGTGTACAGATCAGTTCGATAAAGTCATGCCTAAACAGCGACATTTTACACGATAAATACGGGTTTAAATAGCTGCATTTGCCACGGAAGGCGAGTGGCAGCTACAGTAAACCTTCTCTTACTCTGGCATCTTGTGGCAACTCCCGTTGAGCAGCGGCAGATGCCTCGGCAAGTTGTGGCATCTGTGGCATATGCCGGAAGTACTTGCCACAGATGCCACAGTGTAGTGGCATACTTGCCTGCAGATGCCACGAAATGAGCCAGGCCCTACTGGATAATTGCGGGGGTAAGCTAAATCGTTAGCAAGTAGCTATAGCTAGCCAGATATTAAATAAACACTTTGTCATAGAATCTAAATGTAATGTTTTTTAGCGTTACCTGGTGATTTCAAAGAAAGCTCTCAGGGAAATGTTGACTTACTGTTCGACATGAAGCTACTCAGGCCCGGTTCTACGGGGGTGCATAAGGGTGCATTGCACCCTCAGTTGAGTTGTTATGCACCCTCATTTGAAAAATTAAAAGTGAAAAAATGTTTTAAAGTGAATTTTCTTTTTTTTTATTAAAAGTGAAAAATATTACATATATAATAACAATAACAATAGTAGTAATAATAAGAAGAAGAATATAGTTGAAATAAAATACATTTTAGTTGTGGTTAAATAACATTGTCTGCTGCATTTATTTGGTCAATTTAAACGGTAAGTAACATTATTATGTCAGGTGCGCGTGACCTGTGCCCCTGCGCGTTTGTCATTTGCAAAGTGCTTACACAGCAGTCAGTGATGGACATCAGAAAATGGTTAAAACAACCAGCCCTTATCGCCAGCAGTAACACTGCATCTACTGCAGGTAATAACAGTTCAGATCATGGGGAGATTACGTTACCCGCGGCCACTGTCGTGGACACTAACGTCCTCCCGCCCGACTCGCCGGCTTTGCCCGCCTCGCCCTCTTCGTTGCCTCAAACACCGCCACCCCTCGGCGGCCCGCAAGTGCCAGAGGACCTCGGCAAAACAGAGCCTGCCCAGGTATATTAAAAAAAAGTACCCAACTCACCTGTAAAGTGGGGTAAGGTGCTCATTTTGCAGCTCATGGTTTCACAACAGAGATTGGCTGGAATATTCCTCAAAAAAATATGCCATCTTCTGCTATGCATTTCGGTCTTGAAAGGGGAGTGATTTGTAAAATATCCATAAAGAAATAGTAAATCTGCTTACAGTTCTGTTTCATATGGGTGTTGAGATGTATCCATAGATCTCTTCATTTTGCTCTCAAAGTGCACCAGATTGATGTTTTTAACTTCAATATTTAGCATGCCCCCGGACCCCCCTAGAGGAGGTGAGGACCCCCTAGAGGGTGTTAGGTCCACTCCCCACTTATAAAAATAGCAATTTACCACTGCACCCTCTCTAATCTCAGTTGCACCCTTAGTCATTTTGTTCTGGAACCGGGCCTGAAGCTACCTCACAGTACACAGTTGATCCTGAGTCGTGTCAGTTAAAGTGTTTCATAGTTAGCTTAGCTAAGCATCAACCTAGCACTGAAATATATGGATGTTATTTGACAGTATTTCTGAGAAAAAGTCAGCTGAAATGGTGGCATAGTTGCCACTGCTTTACGTGTCAACAGCATGTTTGAACGTATTTGCAGCAGTAAATGTGGCTGGTTGGCCACTGACGTTGCCATAACAACACCTGAATTTAAATGTACAACCTCTTTTTGTGACAGATATTTGCAAG